TTTAGCGTTAATTTTTAGTTGAGCATTTGCTGAACGGAGATCATCGGACACTAACTTCTTTTACTTAGTTGTATTTCTTCTTGAGGGCAGTGAAATTGCGACGTTAGGAAGTTAAACTCTGTAAGTGGCGGTTTGGTCGTTCGTACGAAATACGAACGTGCAGTCTTCTCCTTTACACATGCCTCAGCATTGTTTTTCCAGTCTCCTGTTCACAGATTCTTCAGAGTGATAGCTAAGTTGGGGCCAGGCGATGCACGGACACTGTACTTCTTGTGGTAGATACAACTCCTAATGAGTTTACTTCGGTTGACGACTAATTTTTTAAAGAACACTTTACAACTACTGCAGAAACATCTTATTGCATGCCATGAATCTTCAGCTCTAGATGAAAACATATTCCAAGAATGTTTGTTCGTACCGAGCTATGCAGGAAACTCGCAGTGCCCGCCTCGGCACCAATCTGTAGAGATGCGGATTCGATCGGTACCCTCTTTCCGATCTGCCTTGACAGTTTTTTTATACCAGATTTAACTTGCACGACAGTCTTTCCTATGTGTAGTATGAAACATTTTGTTTGTCATCCACCGGAGAACAGTGTCGTATATGGTAAGGAAGTATCAGTTTCTGTTATAATCTCATGTTTTTGTTTTCGTTTTAAATCAATTTAATCTTATTGGTTTTACGAGAAGCCAACATTGAACTTGTTGCAAAACATTGTTCTTCGTGTGAGGGTACCTGACTGCATTCGTGTCATTAAGCTGATTCATGACATCGGTACTGTGTGCACGTCGTCTGTTCAGCGTGGCACTTGATATTTATTACTTTTATGAACTGCATATCTGTAGTCCAGCGTTGTTCCTACGTTTTCACTCCAAGAGTGACTCCAGGAAGAAACGATACGTTGGCGCTGCGATAATTTCGTCAGACCGAAAGTTGTAGCACTGATTATGCATGATGTCTCACTCATTTTTTGAACAAAAATAGCAGACTTTTCGGTCACCGTCGAACTTCCCTACACATTGGTGATGAAATCTTTCTTTCGGCGCTTTGTTCTATTTAGTTAATGGTGGAGGATTATGATTTCTGTTTCATGCCATGAGCCAGGTATGCCGTAATATAAAAGCAGAGTCGATGGCAGCTATAATGCAAGCATAATGTGTAGTCTCCTGATCAGTTTCTATGGGGCGGTACTAAGTTATCAACCTCGAAGGAATAATCGGCGAGTGACCTTGACCGGGCATCAAATCCGGAACTTTCGGTCCTCAGTCCGATGCTCTACCGACTTAGCAACCCAGGTCAGAAGTAGTGTGGTAAATTCCTTGCTCAAGGGAATTCATTGTTGAGATTCTCCCTTGGGATCAGATTCGGTATTCCGGAGTTCGAAGCCGACCTCTTAGGCATTGTGCGCCACGTCGAGCTTGTTTGACTAATTGATGAATGACTGTCTATGCAATCAGTGAAATTGCTGCGACTGTATTTAAGTGTTATAGAGCTTGCAAGTCAGTGGGTTGCGAGATTCGCATAAATAACCTCACAGGCTACAACGAGTGGGCTATGGATTATTCGGCATTTCGCTTTTACGTTTCCTGCACCAGTTAAACTACTGTAACAAGATTCTAAGTAAGAATTATGATTGTGCAGAAAACGTTGCAGTGCGGGTTGTACTTTTATAACTTGTAATGGACTACATGGAAACTTGATTGAACGTAACGTTTTTTATCAGAGTCTACAAGGTTTCAAGTGATAACCGCCAAAGTAGAACAACTGTCCCCTGTTTGATACTGCTGCGAATGCCTGGTACTAAAGTGTTGAAAGTCAACCTTACTGCGGATATCAGAACCCGATCTAAATTAATCACTTCAAAAAGCAACTTATAACCAGAAAATAGAGGAATTTTTGACTATGGTACGCGGCTCCCGCACATGAATCCTGAGCTTCTCTGCCTTACACACAACGGATGACTTTTTCTGTATAATTTTACGGCCGACATGTTTCAAACGGGTTCTTTACTGATGGATCAGCTTTTCGAATATACAACTGTTTCATTGTCTGAGAGGAACGCGATTATCTAGAATCGATCTACCAGCTCGATTGAAAGTGAAGAAGGCAGTTCTTCTCAGGTAGATTTAAAGTAAGCGAGTTTCTTGTCTGTCGAAGAATTGGCGTTGCGACTCCCTAAGCTTAAAGTGTCATCGAATTTTTCACATAAGCACCTGACAGGTCGTTGATGAGTAGTGACACAGTCAATTCTGTATTGAAATTGCCGTTTCCAGCGATCCTTTCATGGTCTTTCAAAAAAAATGGTCAGTCCCTTGTCTCTGTAGAAATTGGACAGTTTTTTAACTACACGCGAAAGTTTCAGGGTTGTCACGACGGAAGTTGCAGAACTTTTAAATTTCTCGACATTCGTAACCCCTAACCTTTTTAATAACCTTTGCCATAATACGTAATATGCACATAAACCAAAGAATAGTACAGAAATGAAAATCTGAGCTATAAGTAGCTACTCAGCTCAAGATACTCAAAGGTGCGTTTGACGAACCTTCTCCATCCCACACCACACATTGATCATATGCACAAAGCCGTTGATTTGTTTAATTGACAATAACAGTAAAAAATATGAATTCAGTTAAGAAACCTATGCTTTCTGTGATTCCCTGTGACTGAAGGCCTCCCATAATGATCATGACTGTTGATCGTTGTATATGTTTATTCTTCATGGATGAAATATTCTTTAAAATCTCACTGACAGTCGTATTCTGAGAGCTCGGCATAAATTTCAGTTTTACCTAAGGGAGAATGATACCGTTTCTTGCTTGTCTGTTTCAGGGCCTTGAAAAAATTCAATGAAGCTAAGGGTGCATCGCGAAACCAAACTCGTTACGATCATACCACGATTTATTTAGCGCAGAAATTATTTCTCATACGGGAAGTCACTGTTTCTTGCAGTCTTACGTCGATGATGACATGCAAATACATTATGTGTTATGTGTTGTTATGTGTTTAATTATTTTCATTGTGACCCTGATTATGGACAGTGCTTCGGTCTAAAACGCCAGTCCAAATATAGGACTGTTTATGTTTACTTTGCCGCCCTTAACCATGGAATCAGAGGTTTTATCTTTGACGGTTCCTTAAACTTCATTAGTCGATGATCACTTGTTTAATCTTGGCATGTTCTGAATTAGTTTTTTACGAAATTTTTTCTGTCAAGGCAAGGCCTGGTCGGAAGAAGTAATGTACAAGGCGAAGAGGTAAAAAAACTGGATGTCCTTAGCAACGAATTGATGATCAACATGATCAGGTCATCGTACACCAGCTGCGCCATGGTATCTGAGGAAGTACCTGTTGTTATTGAAGTAGTCGTTTTTTTTGTTGTTTTTTGTTCATCGCTCACCGTACTCTTTTGAGGTAGAACCTCAACAGCAGGGCAAGTACATTGTTGTTTTTGATCCACTGGATGGCTCTTCGAATATAGACTGCTGTGGTTCAATCGGAACCATATTTGGCATTTACAAGA